TTTTTAAATAAAAAAAATTGTTACTGACCCCAAACTACTGTACAGTGACTTATCCTGTTTTAAATGATAAAGATAAAGGGAAAGGAGTCGAAGCACGTGAACCGTGAATCTGACACGTTAAGCAACAGTTTTGCATTCACACTGCATGACTGCATGTGGATCAACACCTGAGCTCCTTGTCGGCTTTTTCAACACCTTTTGTATTAGCACACAAAGCCTCTAAGGTTTCACTGTGTATGATAAGTGTTACCCGTCAAAAAAAACACATACATATGAAATGAGGCCTGGCAATATGACCGCAGGGAAAGGCGACAGCTGTCGACCCACGGTAGCACGATTTGCCTCAAAACCCATTGTGAGACTGTTCCCAGGTCTGTGTATCCTTTTTCTTACCTCACTGTACACATTGTAGCCATGCTGACCTGAGCCGACAGATTTATTAGCTAATGATTAAGCTCTCCTTTATGATGTTTACCCGAACACCCAGCCAGCGTTATGCTAAAAAAAAAATAACCATCCTCCAAATCAACAGAGCAGCTTGGAAGACCGTTTCATGATTTACGCGTATAAGCCTTTGAGGACTGTTAATTGCTCGTTAATTTGAAATATTGAGGCTTGAATCTGTGAGATGTGAGGTAAGGCCACAGCTGCGAGTTATTAGCGAAGAGGATAGACGACCCGGTGTGAAATTATTACCATAGACGTAGCCCACATATCTAACAAAGAAATGGCTTCTTCGAAACTTCTTAAAAACACGTCATAGTCATAATAAAAAGGTAAAAGAGCAGCAGGAATTTTCTGAAGTTCGTCTCTTACCCTGTTACAAATCCCAAATGCACAGTAGGTAATAGTCCTGCACTCTAATAATATGCCTATAAATAGATATTGGTCATCGAATTTTCGGAATTTACCTCATCATGATCAGTTATGAGTCTGGCGAAGTCTGTTTTCTTCCATTTTTGGTAGAGCTGAAAAAAGTCTATGTCGCCATTTGCTAACTCGCAGCAAAATAAATCAAATTTTTCTAAAGTTATGAATGTGAATTTGCAATCAATGTTGAATGTGACAAGAAAGAAACAAGAACCATCCCTGTATTAGATTTGGACGGTTGTGAGAAAACAGCAGTAAAGAAAGCATCCGATGATTGCGATGTGGATATGTTTGCACAAGCTCGTCACGTCACGTTTATTTATAGGCTACCACTTATACAATGTTGCTTAAAAGCCACACATATCATAAAGGTTATCTATAGGCCTACTGCAATTGAGGCGTTTATTCAAGAAATTCATTACAAATAGAAAGATGTACAGTAGAGAAATTTCATGTCGGAGCAGGATTTGAGCGAATGTCGTGTTACCGGTGAGCGTGAGCGGTATATGAGTGGAGCGTACGCTTGGCTCTTCAAGGCCCGGGTATGCTTCATTTCTATGCAAAAAACTGAATACATAGGCGGAGCTCGCCTAAGGCGGGGTTACAGATTATGTGTCCCTAAAGAACCCGCGTATCTAACAGTAGTTCCGCATTACATTAATTAATTTGCAAACGAGTTTTATTTATTTTTATACCGTGTACTCTCCGTGTAAAATTCATGCACCGAACCGTGACGCCCGTACCGTACCGTTTCGGTTCAATACGAATACATGAACCGTTCCACCCCTAGAGTTGACTGATCACCGTTTCGTCACCATTTACAAAACATTTCCTTTAGTGTTTCACTGAAGAAGAAAAAAAGCCATGAGGTTTTGGAAACAAGAAGATATGATGATATAATCCTAATTTTTGGATGTCTTCTTAAAGGGATACTCCACTTTTTTTGGAAATAGGCTCATTTTACAACTCCCCCAGAGTTAAACTGTTGAGTTTTACCGTTTTTGAATCCATTCAGCCGATCTCCGGTTCTGGCGGTACCACTTTTAGCGTAATGATATGACGCAGCGCCTGAAAATAGGCCACCTTCCGTCAACACAACGGAACTATTTTCAGGCGCTGCGTCATATCATTACGCCTGCTGCACTCATGGTACGGCAGTAAAGTTTCTTGATTATTACGCAGGAATGAGAGTATAGTTCCTAGCCATATCAGCCTAGAAAATCGCAAATTTATATTTTCCGTCGGTCTTAGTCCACGATGTAACTACAGAAGAGTCAAGTTTTAAATAGGAAAAATATCGAAACTCTTTGGTCATTTTTTTTTTAGAAATGCTTATGGTCTTGTCCACTTCAATGACGTATGCTAAGCTATGCTAAAAGTGGTACCGCCAGAACCGGAGATCGGCTGAATGGATTCAAAAACGGTAAAACTCAACAGTTTAATTCTGGGGGAGTTGTAAAATGAGCCTATTTCCAAAAAAAGTGGAGTATCCCTTTAAAGACATGGATACGTTTTTCCAATGCAAGCAAAATGTTCTGCAATATTCCCCCCCACTAGCCTGATTCACTTTTACAGCATGATGGAATGACTTGATAAGACTTGGCTGCTCTGAGCAATGAGTCTATCAGCCAAATGGGCAAGCTCCACTGATCCAGGTACGTTCAACCCAGTGATTAAAGAGCACAAGGAGCGGCGGCCATTGTTGCTAACAGCCATTGATCTCCTTGATGCACTTTGATGATTGGCAGATGGGAAACTCAGATGCTTACTATTCAAATGCCCTTAATATCTGACTCAGTGAACCAGTTACATCACATATCAATACTAAGATTATTTGTATATAAATCCATTTGATGTTAATCATGTTTCATCACACTGCTATAATAAAAAAACAGGACTTTAAAGAAAGTCCAACAGTTTACTAATCAGAATTAGATTAATATTTAAACGTCTATGAGTCCTTCTCGAAGCAGTAGACTATGATGTTTCGCCAAAGCATGACAGACTACTGTTACCGAAGACAAAAGCATCTTCTCTTCTCACATGTTTCGCGCACGAGGAGGATAAGAGCTTTGGAACAATATGAGCAGATGTCTTCGGATATGCCTCAATGCTCAGACCTTAAGTATCACAAAAAGAGCAAATAATATATGATACATGATATATGGATATAAATGCAGGTGGCTTACTTCTGTGTGCTGACCATTTTGTTTTAAGAACATCATAAAGATTTACCGAACTAAATACTGACATTTTGATTTGTTTATAGTTTAAAAAGCTCAACAACAGCTATGTCAAACTCATAATTTCTTTGTTAAATCCTACAATCTGCTCACTGTGAAAGGCAATAAAGTGCCTTGTATGCCGCAGACAATAAACTAAGAACAAGGTGAAGCCTCACATAAAATCATACAGACCATCTCTGGGAATAAACTGTTTGTCAGCAATGCTTTTTTCTTACTTTCTTAATTTGTATTTATTTATTTATTTTTATATTTTATATATATATATATATATATATATAATTCTGTGCGTATATATAGGCCTATATAGCTTCATATATAATATATATATATATATATATATAGAAGTAGATAAATAAAAAGTCAAATGAAGAAAAAAAAATCTTTCCTGATATTTTTTGGTCTTTTTATTTATTTAGAGAAAAGAAAGTCTTTCAAAACATTCTTTTACACAAAATTTGATTTTGTTGCCGTTATCTCTATGATCTGCAAAGAACGATAAAGACTAAAGTCACTTACCTGATAGGCGTCTAGCTGTTCATCAGTAAATATCGTTTGCTTATTACCCATCTTAGTCGAGTGATTTTCCTCTCGTGCAGATGCATCACATTGGTCTTCTCTGTTCTAGGCATTTATGTCCACGGTTTGGCCAGCCGAGAAAATTGGGAGCCAGCATGAAATTTCAGTCCTTCTTGAAGTAGCCTATGCCTGTTGGTGGAAAAGGCGACACTCTCCATAAATACTTAAACAGCTCAAGAAACGTTACACTTGTTTGACGCGTACCGTTCCTGACGCGCGCAGTATGTACTTGTCCTGTCGCTGTTCGCTCTCACTATGAGGGAATTCTCAATGAAAATGATTCTTGAACCAACTAACACCTTTTTACCACCAGGGGGCAGCATGGAACGCCCAGTAGTTTATAATATAATATAATATAATATAATATAATATAATATAATATAATATAATATAATATAATATAATATAATATAATGAATACTATATACACGTTTTATTTAGCCTAGTAATAAATGTAGTCATCTCAATAGTCATCCCAGTCATCTCAATAGCAAAAAGTGTCCCAATCAACCTGAATTTATCCCTATATGTACAGTAATTACAAATAAAAACAAAACAAATCGTAACACACACACACAAAATTTAACTAAATAATTCTAAACAATCAGGCTGCCATAGAAGAGCCATTTTTGTTCCCCCAAAGAACCTTTCAGTGAACAGTCATTAAAAGAACCATTTGTTTTCTTAGTGTGAAAAACATTTTAAATGGATAGTTCACGCAAAAATTAAACTTTTGTCATCATTTACTCACCCTCAAGTTGTTCCAACCCTGTATGAGTTTCTTTCTTCTGTTGAACATAAAAGAAGATATTTTGATAAATGTTGGTAACCAAACAGTTGACTGCACCCATTGACTTCCATAGTATTTTTCTTTCCTAGAAATGGAAGTCAATGGTGTCCATCAACTGTCTGGTTACCAACATTCTTCAAAATATCTTCTTTTGTGTTCAACAGAAGAACTCATACAGGTTTGGTGAGTAAGCGATGACACAAGTTTCATTTTTGGGTGAACTAGCCCTTGAATAGGGCTAAAGAACTTTTTTCCACTTTAAAGAACCGTTTGTGCAAAAGAAAAATTCCATGAATGTCCTCTTCGTGGAACCTTGTTTTTTAAAAGTGTGGTCTTTAAAGAAAAGCACCAAGTCACTTGTGGTTCAAAATAAACCGTGCAATTTATAAAAAACTATCAACAAAACGTTTCGCTAAAGTTTTTGGGCAAATCTTTCTTTATACTTATTCCATTTATAAAACAAAACTTTACATAACAGAACAATTCTAAGTTCTACATTCCATTCCCAGTTTCCATGACAATATCCTAGTAACCATTGTAAGTACACAAAAACGCTGAAAGGGCAACTTCCGGCTGGTGTGAACTTTAAATAAATAATTCATCCCGCGCGTTAATTAAACCAAGAGAACGTTTGAAATGAAGAAAAACATCGGAGCCGTAAAGCAGGGGGGCAAACAATCCCCGCATTAAAATCATCATCGTTATATAGGGCAGACATTACAGAGAGGCTCAGGCTAGCCGGAGAGAGCTAACAGTCACACCTGCTCAGATCTGCCCGTGCGCACGGCACACTGTACACTGTAAATGCCCACCAGCATTTATTACCAAAACATCTATCCCATGCTGTAATCTGCGAATGACTGCATAAATCTCAGCGACCATGGACTCTAAGAGGGAAAAGGACAATGGTGAGTAGCTAATTATAAACGGTTTTAAACCTTAGCGCGTGCTAGCAGCGGTAGCTGTCCACACACTGTGGTGCTGATTCACAAAGATACTTCTGGGACTAAAATTACATGTATTTTATTGGATATATTTTGCGGGATATGTCATTGGTCTGGCAGCATAATGAATGCAGCCTTGCATTATAATTTCAGTAAAACAGCATGCCGTCTCATTTAGGGAATTACTCGCTTGTTGCTCCGTATATGCACTGAATTAAGGTTCATAAAACACATGCTTTGCCTCTGTTAATTAAACCAATTGTTGGTTTGTGACAACTTTTAGTGTATCCACATAATTTCAGCTATTATATTTTGGCTCACAAAACTCTTTTTTCAAGTGGGTGCTGTGCGTGTTGCCATGGTCGACTTAAAATGGATTATTATAGATGTTATATCCAAGGCAATTCAGTTAGGTTAAATGAGATTATTGTTATATTTATATGATTTTGCACCTTTTTAGAGTACCGGATTACAGGAAACCAATCCCATAACCATCCCAAGTGTTGCCTATTTATAGCCTATTTATAGGCTATACAGAGATTTTATTAATATTTTGAATTAGCTTTATTTTTCATATTTCCCGTTTTCATTTTCAATTTAGTAGGCTTAATTATTTTTGTATGTGCTTTTGTGTGTGTGTGTGTGTGTGTGTGTGTGTGTGTATATCTATCAATCTATCTATCTAAATTTATTTGCATTATTTGCTGTTATTATTATATTTTTAAATATATAAAAATAAAGAAGCAATATAACAAAACATCAAGAAGAAATGACAAATTAAATGTAAGGACACAAAGATGTTGTTATAATATAATGATAAAAATGTCAGCATGAAAAATGAATATTTGCAGGACATTACATTAAACCCAGAGGGAGCTGCGGCTGTAATCCAGTCTTTGAGAGTTAAAGAAAAGCGACACATAAAAGGAGATTAAAACTGTAATCACCGTGAATCTTTTGAATCATGTAGAGCCACATTTATAATCTCCCCACAGAAAATACTGAACGCACCACGAAGAGCTTTAATACTGTTAGGACTTTCAAAAAAATGCTATAATCACACATTTTCTCCTTATATTCCAGATACAGAATGTGCAAAGATCACCACCGTGCTTCTGAAATCCCGCACTGGGGAGTTCGATTTGGAGTCCATTTTGTTTCTTAAACTGAGGAATTTAGGTAAGACAACATTGCAGTGTCTTTGCTGAATACATTCTCACAGTCGCACATAAACACAATCTTGCTTATGTTTTTTTTTTTTTTGGCAGGAATTTATGATCTTGGATGTATAGGAGAGTGTGTAAACCTGGAGAGGCTGGACCTCTCTGGAAATAACATCACAAATCTGGGGCCTCTTTCACCTCTACGAAGACTTCTCGTTCTTAACTTGTCAGCTAATAGAATCTCAAATTTAGGTAATGATTATTTCAACCTTAAAGAGGCTATCAGTAGAATTCAGAAAGCCTTTTTATTAGCAAAATCGGTGGCCGTTAAATTAAAGTTAAATGTAGCCAGCAACTTATTCTAATAAGAGCGATGTTTAGATGAATATGTAAATATGTGCAGCTTTCCTCTCAATAAAAAATAAACACACAACAAAAATGACAGTCAGGAAAGCCTCTGATCATAGCAATGTGGATATGTTTGAGTTTTTTTTTACATAAAAGTCTACAGGCTTTCATAGACAACCTAGGAAGTCTGAGAAGGTCCGCTTATGTCTCGTTTTTTATGTTTCGTTACAAGCTGTTATTTGCAATGTTTTACTCATTGGCAATAAAAAAAAGTGATTAATACATGAAAATTATTTTATAGAGCAGCTTTAATCTGATTACACTGTTTATAAAAATCAGTGCTATTATATCTGACTTTTAGAGTCGATCATTTCTCTTCTCAGAACCCCTTTCCAGCTGTGAAAGTTTACAGAGTTTGAATGTTGCTGGTAATGTGATACCAAGGTAAGCCGCCTTTTTTAGCTACTCATATTTATCTGCTTTCCTATCCACCTTTCAATATGACACATTGATTTGCACCTACAGTGTTGATAATGTTCATGCCCTCAAGTCTTTAAGAAAGCTGGAGAGCATCAGACTGAAGGACAACACCTATAATTACACCAATCCAGGTTAGCAGTTTTTTGGCTTTAATTTAATAAATCTTGTTGGCACTCAAAACATTTCTTCATTCTTATTTATTTTGCTACAGTCTGCAAGAGTTCATCATACCGAACTATTATTCTTGAAATGTTTTCAAACTTGAAAGTGTTGGATGGTGAGTTTTTCATTTTATTTTGCTAAACACTTTTTTTTTCAGAAAATTATGTACTCAGTCTAGCAAGTTATCATATTCTGTTTTAATGTGTTATTTAAGGTGAAAGGGTGGTGGGACGTGGAAGTGACTTATATCAACTATGCAAAGACATTGATGATACAATTAAAGGTACTCGCTGGAATTTAAATCCTGTTATTTAAGATTTTAATAGAAAAACTGTCATTAAAATAGGCTGTGCACTTGTGTTTCATTTTGTACTGTGCAGTTTTGTGTATAATATGATAATATGCTTAACACACACAACATTTTGGGGGTCAAACGTTTGATTAATTAGTGCAAGTTAACTTTGACAGCCCTAAAAATATACCGTTCAAAAGTTTGGGGTCCGTAAAATTTTTTCCCCCAAAGAAATTAAAATTTATATTTAGCGAACATGCATTAATTTTATCAAAAGGGACAGTAAATACATTTAGAATATTACAAAAGCATTCTATTTCAAATGCTGTTCCCTTTCTGTCAGTCATGTTTGACGTTATGTCAACTGACAAATGGGGTCTCACTTGGGAGCCCCAATCACCTCTTAGTTTTAGAAAAATGGATGAAATGAAATTGGCGATTGGAATTTGCATGCCTAGCCACTCCCCTGTACATACGATACGGGTATATAAGATGGCGGCATGAATCCATTCATTAGATTTTTGCTTCGTAGCTAAGTGGTTTCAAACAACGATCACTCTTCCAGTCACCATAGCTAAAAGAGCATTATATAGAGGAGATGTGCCGTGTGTCGAGTGCCGTTGAGCTTCTGGATGACATTGGTCCCTCCCATGGCAGACCCAGCGTGTCAATTAATGCTCCTGCCGAGGACCAGATGTCAATATCTGCATCAGAGAGTGGGCTATAGTCCTCTAGGGATGTATATGAGGCTAAGTTTCCCCCCTCTGGGGTGGTCGCTCACACTGAGTCGGATTAAGAGTTGATTAACATGCTTTCCCAGGCCGCCACGGGTATCAGGCACGAGTGAAACCCTCCACCTTGCCCTGAGCACTCGTGGTTGGACGATTGGTTCCTGGGTTTGTCCTGCCCCAGTGCCTTTCTTCCTGGAGGTGCATGAGGAGATCCAGAAGTCTTGGAAGGCACCTTTTACTGCCCAAAGACGCTTCCTGGCCTCCTCCACTCTCACTACCCTCGATGGTGGGGCCACCGCGGAGTACGTGGAGATGCCACAGCTGGAGCTTGCAATTGCGGTGCACTTGTGCCCATAAAGTGGCGCCAACTGGAGGAAAAGTCCGCGGCTCCCGTCCAAGACCTGTGAGCTGACGTCACCCCTGGCTGATAAGGCTTACAGTGCCGCTGGACAGGCCGCCTCCACCCTGCATGTGATGGCCATCCTGCCAGTACATCAAAGAAGTGCATGAGGGTAGTTCTGAACCGGGGTTGATGCAGGAAATGCGCACAGCGAACGACTTCGCCCTCCGGGCAACCAAGGTCACGGCGCGGGCACTCGGCCAGACGATGTCCACCTTGGTGTTCCAGGAATGCCATATCTGGCTGAACCTTGCAGAGATGTGGGATGTCGACAAAGGGCGCTTTCTCAGCGCCCCCATCTCGCAAGATGGCCTCTTCGGCGACACTGTCTGCTTTTGGACTGCCGGACAAAGTCCTCAACAGAGGCCATCAGACACATCTTGCCCTGCAGTGATACTACCGCCACCTGGTTCCCGAGGACTGGACCCCAGTCTGCTTGTCACCGAGGGGTCACCCTGCAGCTTCTACACCTGCTCCGGTACTGCCAAAAACAATATCCCGGTTGCAACGTTGAGCCCCCAGCAGGAAGGCAGCGCAGCCTGTCCCTCAGGCCGCCGCTAAACCCCCCAATGTCCATCAAAGCGGCCTTGAGATGGGCAACCCAGAGATGGAGGGATCTGCTCTGAACCAGGAGGTGGTGATCGCACCACTCCTTCCCCTGGAGGAGGGCCGGGCGATCGCACCACTCCTTCCCCTGGAGGAGGGCTGGGCGGAGAATCTTTTGTTTCATTTAAAAGAGTTTATTTCTGTTCTTACAGACCCCAAGCATTTTTTTTATTTCTTAATATATATATATTAAGAATTTTAACCACTGATTCTTCACATGCTCGTCCTTGGGCAGTGAAAAAAACTGGCTTTACCTTCACTAATGTTTCGTCTTGACGTCACAACGAAACGGCTTATGACTTGTTTGAAAAACGATTAATTTCATTGACTCAGAGTCGACTCTTACTTTTGAAAGACAATAACTTTATATACAGTGAACTTTCAGATTTAAAACTTTGCAGTATGTTTTCATTCACTTTGAGCTATGTTACACACTACATGAAAGGTAATTTTCAAAAATGCATAATAGGAGCACTTTAATCTAATTTTACTTCATTACTTTTAAAAAATAAAGATTTTTTTTCTGCATTTATGAGACTCTGCCTATCTAAATGTTCTATAATTATAATTTTCTCTTTCATTTGTAGCAGGCATGTATAAAAATGGCCAACTGCCTGAGGTGCCAGAGACCAAACCTTGGGTGGATGATGGTTTTTGGGAGATAAAGAGATCAAACAATGCCATTGTTGATGAAGCCTATAAACAGTTCAGTGGTATGGGCTAAACTCATGTTCATTAATCATAATCATTTTCTAAAACATTCTTTAAACACATCATCAGCAGTCACACTTCCAAAGCATTGATTTAATATGCTTTCGGTAACCATCTCAACAGATGTTCTTCATGAATGTAGGCTCCTGAATAGTCGAGCAGCACATGTGATCTCACAAAACGAACGGACCTTCAGCCTCAAGAACCAACCAAAGCAGTATGCCGTTTGAATCTGGGAATATCTCCATCTAATTATGTTTCCATAAGAATGCATCTGTTTTCCACAGCTTTTTCTATGTATTTTTAAATGTCCATAAGCTTGATGCATCACCGGTGCCAGAAATCTAAAATGCTCCGTGTTGCCTGCAGTGTGAGGGTTTAGTTTTTGTAACTACTCTTGAGTTCTTTCTGATTTTCCACCGTTCAAAGCAGTGGTTCTCAATCAGGGTGCTGCAATGAACTTCCAAGAGGGGCTCAGATGACTTGAAATTAAGCTAAACAACAACAAAATCAAGATATATCTTTGTATTTGGTTATTTTTATATCGAAGATACACAGATGAGCCAAAACATGACCACCTGCCTAATATGTTGTTGGTCCTTCGCATGCTGCCAAAACAGCACCGACCCACGAGGCATTGGACTTTACAAGACCCCTGAAGATGTCCTGTGGTATCTGGCACCAAGACCAGGACCAAGATCCTTCAAGTCCTGTAGGATCAAAATGGTTGGTTCAGCAGATTCCACAGATGCTCAATTGGATTGAGATCAGGGGAATTTGGAGGCCAGGGCAACACCTTGAACTCGTCATCATGTTCCTCAAACCATTCCTAACAATGTGTGCAGTGTGACAGGGGGCATTATCCTGCTGGAAGAGGATATCAGGGAACATCATTGTCATGAAGGGGTGTACCTGGTCTTCAACAATGTTTAAGTAGGTGGCACCTGTCAAATTTATGTGCATATGAATGGCTGGACCCAGGGATTCCCAGCAGAATATTGCCCAGAGCATCACACTTCCTCCACCGGCTTATTGTCGTCCCACAGTGCATCCTGGTGCCTTCACTTCCACCAAGTAAACGGCACACATGTATATGGCCGACCACGTGATGTTCAATAAAATGGGACTCATCGGACCAGGCAACCTTCTTCCACTGCTTCGAGGTCCAGTTACAACGCTCGCGTGCCCATTGTGGGCGCTATTGATGGTGGACAGGGGTTATCACAGGCACTCTGATTGGTCTGTGGCTACGCAGCCCCATACACACATCAGGGTGTGATGCACTGTGTGTTGTGACACATTCCTCCCATAACCATCATTAACTTTTGTGTGACTTGTGCCACAGTAGACCTTCTGTTGGCTCGGACCAGACAGGATAGCCTTCGTTGTCCTTGTGCATCAATTAGCCTTGGGTGACCAACTCCCTCTTCGGATCACTGTTGGTAAATTCTCACCACTGCTGACCGGGATCAACCCACAAGCCTTGCCGTTTCAGAAATAATCTGACCCAGTCGCCTTGCCATAACAATTTGGCCCTTGTCAAAGTCACTCAGGTCATTATTCCTGTGCAGACCGATCGGTGTATGACATCAAAGTACCACGAGAGCCAGTTCTAGGAACTTAGTTCTAGGAACTAGCCATCAGGGTGGTTCCCCCAAGAACTAATGGTTCCCGTAGGAACATTTTCCTGGTTGCATTCACACCGCCAGTAGGAACTCTGAAGTGACGTAAGCCGCGCTTGTTGTTGTGACTTTTATTTTGACAGTACGGCGGACCTTTATTTTGACAGCGCAGAGAACGCCAGCCAGAGCCTGGGCACACAGTGCTCGCATTCTCCATGTTCATTAGTTTAAGATCTGTCTAACAGCCTTAATACGATATTAGATATAACTGTTATACATAGAAAGTAGACAGTATATGAAAAGGCATTAGCGTATGCTGTGTGGTTTATGTCCAGTGTTACTAGCTGAGCAGAAATACATCATGCTTCGCTTGGTCCCCTCAAAGTTGCGTTGGATTTTTCTCCTTAGCATAAAGTTTAAGAGGTCCATCTATCACTGTTTTCCATGTTCGTGGAGTTAGTTTCTGGAGAAAATATATAGGCTATAATCTGTGTTTACACAGCTTTTTAAAAAATGGCGGGTGCTGGATTTTCGCGTGCGTTCGGCCAATCAGCGTACACTAACGTCACTGGTAGTTCCTATAGTGCTGGTTTAGACCCTACTCTGAAGTAGGAGCTAAATTTGTTCCTCCAAAAGGAGTTCCTAGAACAGAAAACCTGTGAACTAAGTTCCTGTGGTGTGAACACGCCAAAAAACTGGTACTTCCGCCTTGTTTGCTTACCATCTAATCTATCTAGAACTTGATATGTGGCCTTGTTAAGAGATTATCAATGATATTCGCTTCACCTGTGACTGGTCATAATGTATTGGCTCATCAGTGTACATCTTTCTAGTTATTATAAGCTCTAAAGCTCTATATTTCATTACATTGTGAGTGAGGAGGGCCTTCAAGTATTGTTGGGGACAATAGGGGGTCTTGAAGTCAAAAGGTTGAGATCCACTGGTTTAGACAGACTGATACTGTAGTTACCCCTAATCCAATTTGATCACTGTCTCAGGATGTTCAGAATCAAGACAATTCCTCTTTGCACTCCTAAAACAATGCTGTATTTAACATTATGTTTTAAATTATGCTTAAAATGCTGCTATTTCTATATTTCCTAATGATAATGCACTTATTGTGTACCATTAGTATTGTTTATTAACCACTTCTGATGCTTTCCCATGTTGCTCTTCTTGTTTACAATTTTTAGAGAATGCTTTTTGCCTTTTTATTCTATGCCTAATGTGGACAATTTTTTGTACATTGCTTGTTTTCATAAGGTATTTCTTTTTCTTTGCTCAAGCAGCTTTTTGTTTTAAAAATACATCTTAATTGTATGACATATGATCAGCTTTGCATCTTTGTATTTACATTTTGTTGGATAAAGTACGGAACATTCATGCCAAATATCCCTGTGTCTTATGTTTATTCATCTTACAAGTAATGTAAATAAGCTGACTATTAAAAAGACTCAGGCCTGGTTTCATAGACAGGGCTTAGAGTAAGCCAAAGTCTATTTCAAAAATAAAATAAAATATAAAAAAATATCTACAGTCTTTGATTGAGCCAGGAGTAGGGAATCGTTAAAAAAGGACATTAAGTAGCTTTAATAAATGTGCCTTTAAAAAATAAAAATAAAAAAACATTACTGTTGCGCATCTTGAAACAAAACAATGGCAGTGCAAGATGCTTTCAGATAAAACGTGCATTTTAGTCCGCGTATTTAAATGGTTAAAGTGAATGTTTACTCAAAAACAAACATTCTGTCATCATTTACTCACCAACACATGTTGTTCCAAACAAAGTCGTTCTGTCTTCCATGGGATACAAACGGCAGAATGACCTGATGATGCCAGAATTTTTGTTTTTGATTGAACTATACCTTTTGTTTTGCACAAATAAGGTATAAAATATTGTTGTGGACCATAGTGGACACATTCAAGAAAACATCTCCATCTTGTGGTCTATACATGCATCGGTCTAGTCAATACCATAGACTGTAAAAAAAATAGGTCAATACAGGCACTAAACGTAAAAGTTGCCCACCTCACGAATTCTTTTCTACCCTAAAGGTTATTTATTCACTCACTAAAAAAATCGTTTTGATCATGAGGGGAGAAAAGTCACGTTGCAAAAAAAGAAAAAGTTGGAAAACATCTGAAAAATGTACAGTGACATCCAGTGCAGTAGGGGGAGTGCAACAGAAGAATGTACGTTCAGCATGTCAGAGTTCTCATCTTTACAGCTGCATACAGATCAGCGGCCTGTACATGTGGTTGCCAGGTTTATCTAAATCCCCATTTGCAGTCTGCAAATTTGAAAATCGCATTTTCTCCCCTGTAATTGTTAAGCAGACACCCAAACCGTTAAACCTACGTCATCAGGGAAGGTCCTCCAAGGCAGAGGGGAGGGGAAATTAAATTTCAGATTTTGATTAAAGATTATAAAGCCAAAAAATTTGTTTGTGTGGATTGACTTGCATCGATGAATTGTTCACCACAAAACGATCCATTTAGGCAAACAAAGTAAGTATGGTCAATTTTGAATTCATGGGGACTTTAATAGAATAATATAAACTAAATAAATACAAAAAAAAATAGGTAATTATGCATGAAAATATATAGCTACAGATTAAGGCTCTCGCACCAGGATGGTCATATTTTGCGGTCCATGGCATCTAAAAGATTGAAAACCCCTGCCGCAGGGTAAAGCTATTAGTCTAGGTAAAATCTGGCAACCCGAGATACTCATAGAGGAGGATGAGACACCGGATAGCTGCATTGAGTTAGTAGTAGTCGCAAGATCACGATTAGCACAGGATGGCTGGAAACGCATGGAGGTCAACGGTAAGGACTCTATTATATGACAAACCTCAGATTTTAGCAGCCCGTGTCTGCCTGATATGACTGTGTACTATGAATGCAAGTATATACTTAACGTACGCTGAAAAAAACAACAACGTTGCGTTGCATTAGAGATGCCACAGCGGCCCTGTACTGCATGCCCTTCACACAGGCACCTACACGTTTAACACATTTAACAGCTCCCAGGCAACTCATATACTAGTCTTTTAACACATATGAGTGATGTGTAAGAAGTTAAGAGAAGACGATGCGTTTTGAATCACGCCCGAGTCAAACGCCACAGATGTTCAACACCACTGCAGTCATCCCCCATCCACACATTATTGTGTTTAATAGCCCAAAGAGTAAATCAACTCAGATAGTAAGACAGCAAGGTCAGGTTGTGGTAATTGAAAACGACATTCTTGCCTTTTCAGCTCCTAAAACTTCTCGAGAGATGCGGCGTGCGGATAAGTGACGCGAGCGGGACTCCGGAAGTAAGACGCGCATCTCAGTTCAGTCAGTTAGCTTTAACGCGTTAGCTTGCAGTGGGTTATTATAGTCATTGAAGATGGCAAATCTGACGTGGACATTAAAATAGTCACGGTGAGATAGTTTATAAATGAGCTTAGCTGATTTACATCAGCAAGGAAATCCATTAACGCCAACCAACTAACAAACCACCAGCTAGTGGATGAAGGTCACCTCGACATGTTGGCTTCATGAATGCAGTAACAAGAGCTGACTGATGTCACGACTTCATTTATGAGTTTCCCTTATTAACTTAATGTTATAGATCTTCTAGAACATAAAATCATGGAGATAAGGACATGACAGACATGCAGAAGAACCGTTTAGTGTCCTTCAGAAAGACTGGTGTTTAACATACAATTATGGCTCCTAATGCAGTTTAGATTCATAGGCTGTTACTAATTTTAGAAGGATGAAATATAAAATAGCCGTGCATATGGTGGGAGACATTAGCTCTATGTATATCATTATATAATGAATCATTATTTCCACAGATGGCTCTAAATGTGTTCAAACTTAAGCCACATATTTAAAATGTATGAATGTTATTGCAAAATATGAAACGCATTATGGCATCTTCAAGAAAAAACAAGAATACTACTAACGTTCCTCAAAACTAACTACT